ACCGCACTATCATACGTCTGTGTGACACAATTGTAGAACAGACCAAAAAGTTCTGTCCAGATGGTGGCACATTTTCCAAACCTGTACAAAAAGGACCAAGCACATGCTATCCGAGATGAGCAAAGAATATATCTTAACCTTCTGCGTCCTTAGCACATGATATTCTATATAATATTCATATATTCTTAAAAGCAGACTGACAAAATAAAATTTGGGACTTGAAAGTGAAAGTCCACAAAATGCCCATAACTGATCACTTTTTAGTTTGGTCAGAGCAAAGGCTCCAATCACTAGAGCTCAGCTATAAAATGACCCCTGCTATTTCAGAGAAACAGAATTCAAATTTGGGAGAAAACTCGTCTCTACCAGAAGTGACCGAGTGAGGAGGGGAGAGGGGAGACTTATTACATTCACTACTTTCAGTGGGCCTCATATAATAGGACTGGCCACAAACAAATCAAGGTGAAAATACAGTTACAGAAATGTCCCTGAATACTCCAAACAACCAGGGCAAGTATTAACACTGTCCTTTTTTCACATACATACAGAAACAATGCACACACACACACTTGGGTGCACAAAAATGAGTGCGCCCACACACAGCAGCCTGCAGCTACCCCACCACACAGAAGTCATTTCAGACACCTGACAAGGTCCTCACATGACCAAAATGGGCTGATAGCAATGTAAAATACGAAGTCAAACCAACAAGGGAGAAATGACAGACTCTAACTGACAAGCCAAGCCCTCACTGGCCGTTTAATTCCTCATGACGAAGCTGAACTACTGTGGAGCCCTCTGACAAACAGCTCCCAAAGACCAGACTGATGCTAACCCTTTATCAACAAACAATAATTTGTCATTAACATTAGTAAATTCAAGCAAAATACTAAGACTGTAATTAGGAGATTACACTACTTGTGCATAAGCACAATATCCTACTGGCATGAAAAAGTCATAAAAAAATGCTACCCCTTTGCCAGAGAGATTGTGATGTACCAATGGCACCTGGAACCACATTCCCGAAAGGGGGGGGAAGAGGGGGCACACCACCTGCCATAGAGATGGTAGATTATTTCTACTCAACCCACTTCAGTGAAAGAGTTGTCTTAATCTTCTTGCAAGAGTTGTTTGTAGGAGGACTCCACAGTACTGTGCTTGTAAAAGCTGAGATGAAGCAGCTGCCACCAAGAACGACTCCAACTACTACTTGCTCGAGCCAGAAAAAGCCCAGACGTGTCGTGTCGTTTCAACAAAATACTATTGAGGTAGGTGATGCTGGGCAGTCTAGCACGAATAGACAACACAATCCTCAGACATCTGCTAAAGACATTACAAATTTCCCCAACAACTCCCTCAACAAATTTGACAAACTTTTCCCACTTTTACACAATTTATAAAGGAACCTCTCATAAGGCACAAACACACGCATACTACTATTTGCAGTATGTGATATTACTTTTTCTTCTCCTGCTATTCTGGGCACCGCCTAACCCCCTCCCCCCAATCAATATAATAATATACTTCTTAACCCAGCAAAAAGAGAGAAAAACATTTTCAGAGGAATCAGACTGATAACTAATCTTTCCATCTGATGTGAGGACCACCAAAATCAGTCTTCTTGTATAGAAATTTGATCAGAAAGAAGCTCACTTGAACTTGAATGTATTATAAAGAATCTTCATTGTGGAGTCTTTTAGTTAGATGATGAATTATCTCTTTTATGCTTTCCTTTCTTTTTCACTTTTTATTCATTTCCATCGACTTCAACAACATGTGATCATTGTGTTGACTCTTCAACTTCATGTTCCATTCATCCAAACTGATCTTCCCCCAGGTTTTCCTTGGACTTTTCTTCTTTCCTTTGTGTTTTCTACTTTGCAAAGACATTTGCTCGATGTCAATGTAAGAATCACACTGATCACAAAGGCTCGAGACGCCTTGAGAGATTTGGCATTTCTGCATTTCTCAGGGTGAAACGTTTCGTCTCTCCTCAGTTCATCATTACCAAAAGTCTCCTTGCTTTCAACTTAACAATTTTCATCTTTTACATTTCTTTTTTTCTTCTTTTTTTCTCAGAGTTCTGAATTTTGTCATCTCTGCTTGCTCCTGTTTCTTGACAGCAAGAACCCCAGGTGCACTACAATCTGAAGTGAAAACTTGTAACTAAAATAGTCTTTTTGTTCTGTACCAGTCCCAGAGCTTAGTTGCCATAAAGTCAACAGTAGAGCAGTGTCCTCATTGTTGTGTAACTAAACTATACATACTGCCAGGAGGTGCCCACAGAACCACCCTTTTCCCAGTATCTACTTCTGGAGACAGACAGGAAACAAGGCAGTGACTAGCATCTCAGCTTTCATTGTGCGTAAGCTCTTGGTAATGCTTTTTTCAAACTGCTTAGTGTAAGACTTTACCAATACGCCTTTCTGAAAAGTGACATAAATGACAAAGCCTTAGCCTGAGCAGTTGACCTGATACATCACCCATTTTCAATACAAACAAGAGTGTTCTGGGGCAAAACAGCATTCAAAAGCACAGACAGCCCACCAGCAACATCAACCCAAGTGAAATCAGCCTGTCAAAGAGTGTGAAGTCATTTCATAGAGCAGTCTAAAGTCATTTGATAAAGCAGTCTAGAAACTTTTTACAGCAAAAGAGCATCATGGAATGGGACATATGGTTATCAACAGCAGGCAACATTTCTCATTCTTCCTATCCCATCATAATATATATATATATATATGCATATATACTTGAACTACAGGTCTCCTCAACAGCTGTGCCTTCCGCACACTCACTCTCTCACATACACAACAGCACATGAGATCTGCCACCACCTAAATACAATCTGGTTCCAACACAAGTTTATGCACTGTACAAAGTCGATAATAAATGTAACAAACTAGTTTATATTCTATGATCAGTTGGAGCTATATATCTGCTCGTGAGTACAAGGAGGAGGGGAATTTTGGCACTGCGTATCAATGTGTTGAGAGACCCACAGAGAGGAACTCTTTTTCTCCCTCCTCTCAACAAGCATAACTATGTCCAGACATTTAGAAATCACACAGGCCTTGCATTAACCGCACTCAGGTCAAATACAGACTACACACAAATCCATAAGGGATGACACTGTTTCTCAACATTCCTGTTGAGTCCATAGACAGATCAGACAAAAGATCAAACAAGCTTTCTATGACTATCGAAAGTCATTCAGCTTTTTTCATCTTTTTTGTTCATGGACCATCCAAAAACAAAGTGGAAACTTTATATTTAGACCGGCTTCCAAAAATACCAGCACTAACTGAATCAAGAGAAAAAAGGGGGTTTTTTTTGTGTTTTTTTTTTTTCTTTTCTAAAAATAGGTAACTTACAAGTATCAAGGAACTTGAAATTGCGTCACCCACAAACTTGGCTTTACTTATTAGACCAACACATGTAGTAACAACAGCTGATTGTTTCCTGTGCCCTTCCCTCTCTTTAACAAATTATGCTTTGCCAAGTCAGCAACTAGTCACCTTGGACAGCTCTTGGGAAAAGAAACAAAGAGAGAGGTAGGTAGGAGGGAAAAACAAAAGAAATCAAAGTAAATCAAAGTATCAAGTCCATATCCATTAGAGTACAATTTCATCATCAGCCAATTTTTAAAAAATGCAATGTCTCCCAGTTCCTTACACAAATAAGATTTAAAATGTAGAATGAATTTATGTTAAGATGTTTTCAAAAGCCAAGCAAAGTCCAGGGACAGAAGAGAGCCAATAACATTCGTGTTAAGTCCAGAAGACATCAGCTGCCCTCTGCTAAGACAAGCCACCATGATCCAGCTCAATAAGCCTCAACCAGAAAAGACAGGCTGGCAACAGACTGTATAGACATGAATGCAATAAATGCAAAGACTCAGGATTACAGATTCTCTTTTGTTTTTTTCCTCACCATCTGCTCTCTCAAAAAAAGACAAACTGTACACTGCAGTTGCAGCAAAATCACACACACATACACACCTACAGACACAAGCAGGAAACAAATACAAAATTCAAACATTTGTCCAGTGAGCAAACTTCCGCCTCTATCCAGACAATTTAAAGAGTGATATCACTACTTTTACTTTTGCATTTATTAAGAAGCATGTATTGCCTTTCATACACACATATATTTGCATATCAAAAGTGAACTACACGTCCGTCTCATCACTTTAGCAAAACAGATACAGGAAGTGCACACAATGCGGATTATTGAAGTCATGCCGACATGTCATTCAATACACTGAAATTCACTGAAAACTGCTAGTTCTCTTAATGATTTTGATATACAAGGCAGCATCATTCTTCGAAAATTCGCATTGTCCGCTCACCCAATTACAGTAATTTCATCTCATCTCTTGTGGGGTCTCTCTACACATGACCCCAACCACCCCTGAACCCTAACCGTTTCTCTTTAGTCAGGGTCACGAGTTACAAATTTAAAAAAAAAAAAAAAGAAATCATTAAGGAGCCATTTTCCCTCTTTCGGGTACAAATTTGCCACAGACAAAACAGGGTGGGCAACCAAGTAGTCTTAACATTTGTTAATCACCAATCCCAGCATGCCTTAAATGAGATTATGACGTCGACAAATTTGTCAAGACATCCACACAATCAGCAGAATGCAGAGGCAGTCTGAGGGGAATATTTCCTGTGCGAATACCTGCATGTACAAACTGAGTTTCTCCTTTGTGTAGAAGCAAACAGTTCATAGCACACAGGCTGCTTGCTTGCCTGTTGATAGCCATCCCAGACAACTGTTCCGTCATACGCGCACATCTGCACACCTTAACCAAATTCTCAAGTCCACTCTGTCAGCAGCCAGCAGCCAAACATGAGATCACAACCCCGTCATCTAAACCAATACATTAACCAGGATGTCTCCTACACTCCCAGCCCCACAAAAAAGTGTGTACACAGAAGAAATTATCTCCAACCACCAGCCAACGTCCTGGAGATGAGATCACAAAAATGACCGTCCAGCGAGCCCTTGTTTTCCTCGCTGTGTATTTGTTAAAATCTCCTTTCAGCCCTCCAACATCCATCTACAACTCTTTCACATAACTTCAATACAGCGCGGACTAGAAATCCCTAGTAATCCAGTCCTGCCTCTCCAGCTTGTGCTCCCCAAAGTTTAAACACCATCATCACAGCCAGCATTGTGTAGAACATCAGGAGGAAAGCGGGGGTCCTTCAGCTGCACTCTGAGCCATGGCCTCCTCCTCCTCCGGGCTCTTCGTCACCTCGGCTAGCGTTAGAAAAAACAGAGAGAGCAAAAAGTTAGGACATACTATTTGATACTTGAAAACATCAATGAACGGAGAAAGCAAAATTTAAGAAATATTTGATCCTTGAAAATATAGAAGAATATAGAAAGCAAAAGTTACGACATAATATTTGATCCTTGAAGACACAGAAAAGCAAAAAAAGCAAAATTTATTAACATTCTTTGACCCTTTTTCATTACAGAAAAAATAGGAGAACAACAAAATTTAAAATTACCACATATCAGATCCTTCAAAACAGAGAGGATAACAGAGAAAGCAAAAGTTACGACAAATATCCAATCCTACTTTTTCATACAAATTTAGCCAGGAGAACAGACAAAGCGAGTTACAATGTATTTTATCCTTCATTATACAAAAAGAAGAAGAGAACAGAGACATGAAAACAAGAACTTGATAAATAAGAATTTCAAAAGGCCTGCAATTCACATTCTTATTGGAAGACATCCTTGTCTGAGCATAAAAAAATAACCACGGGAAATTTAAAAAAGTTTTGGGGAGTGGAAACAGATGACAATTCAATTGAATAGCAAGTCTAAACAATAAAAAAAAGTGTGCAAACCCAAAACATGACCGTAATTAACACATTATTGAGAAAAGGGAAACTGACCAACAGAAAGAACACACAGTGCACACAAGAAGTTAATAATGAGCTATCAATGATATATTGAAAATATTTTGAGGTAATAGAAAAAAATTAAACCTTCAGAAAAGGTACACATAAGTCTGCCCTCTCATTCCCCATAAATAGATGTGAACTGAGGCATTTTATGTTTGTATACTTCACAAAGCTAAGCGTTCTTTTAAATTTTTTTTCAAGAATAAAGAGAGACTAGTTGAAAAAGAAAATTTGATATCACTGTAAGTCATGCAAGAAGAAACAATGGGGATTACCAGACCGTTGTGTAAGACAACTTCAAACAGTGATTTACATATACAGGAAAAGCGATAAAAAAGATTAAGTTTTGCCCAACTCGGACTAAACTGGTGGCCAGAAAACTTAAGTAAAGAAAAAGATTCGCAGAAAAAACATTCACAGAAAAGCTTGCAAACCGATTGACTACTTAATGTAAGACTCAACCATACGCCATTTTAAAAAGTGACGTATGACGACGAAGTCAAGATGAAAATGTATATCACCACAAAGGACGTACAACTAAATGTCAAAAGATCTTTTAAAAAGAGAGACAAAGACTCGACTCACTCATTGGCCGCACGATGATATAGTTGAGCAGGTCAGACAAGGAAACAATTCCCTTGACTCCATCGTTCTCGTCAGTGACCACCAATCGGTGAACCTGGACACACAACAGGTACAAATTGAGGTTATGTCTTAATTTATTTATTTTAATAAAATTAATGTAGGTGTTTTTTAGTTTTAGTAGAGGTTTTACAGCACTCGCAACTGCATAAGGTCATATGAGTGACAGAAGATTAGAGGTGTTACAAGAGAGAAACAAACATAAAAAAGAAGAAGGGGAGATAAGGACGATAGATGTTTCATAGGAAAGAAGAAGCAAACCACACCAGAGCACCCGCCAACACCCACGTAGGTGTTTTTACGCCCCATTCGATAATTTAGATCATTTAGGCGGGGGCGGGCTTCTGGCCATGCTTCGCCAACGGCAACCCGAGCAGAGAGGGACATAACATTCCAACAGAGAGGCCGAGATACTCTATAGAAATTTCCTCCCCCACTCAGGAATTGAACTTTAATATCTTGCGTGCAAAAGCGAAATGCTTAACTGCAACACCACTGATGCTGGTCAACTCAAGATTAGTGATAGCTGAATCAAGATTTACAAAAAAAAAAGAGTTTAAAAAAAAAGTATGTAATATTATACGTCAACGTGGACACGATTTTAATGATGACCTTGCCTGTCTGCACCAGTCTAGGCTGGGTGAGATGCATCATCCTAACAGACAGATGGTGATACTCGCTTTTCAAAAAAACTTTCACCATGCGGGAATGTTCTTGTTATCGATCCAGTCACCATGTGGGAATCAAACACATAACTTCTGCCTACAACAGTGAAGGACCTAACCATTCATCCGCAGACACCAGTAACCAATGTCTCATAGCTCACTGTCAAGTTCACCTACCATAACACACCCACAATTCATTCTAAATTTTCTGTGAATAACAATCTTTACTCAAGCTGCTAAGCACTCGACAACCACCAACTAACATAGATTAGTGCTTTTAACTCCCCAATCTTCAGAATACTTAACAACTAAAATCACAAAAATTAAAAGCAAAATGAATCAATTCATAATAATGTGGGAAAAAAAATCAAACTATGTCCATTTCTTTCTCCGTACTTTTCAAAGTGCAGTGCCAAACTTGATAACACGACAACATTTTTTGAGCGAAACAATTATTTCAGAAGTGAGAACATCATTATGGTCTTAGCGTTTACAGGGGACTTCACATTCATATTATTCAGGCTAATATCATGGCATTCTGGGCCAAACAATATAAAAGCCACATAGCTGATGTGGATACAGAAAAGGAGTCTAAATAGAGGACATGGGGCAGAACACCTGCAAACCACCCACATTTAAACTTTAAATTTAAAGAAATGTAATTGACACCTGTGATCAGACCCACATTCATCACTAAATTTTCGCTTTTGCTCAATACTCAGGAAGACATCTCAGCTGGTCATTGAGCACATTCAGGAAAAGAATTATCTCCCTTCAATTGCTACAAGCACAGACTCCTGCTTTATGATTACAGAGAAAACTTATTACGAGTTCAACCACTGAATTACTCCTTGCATTTTGCAACAGCGGTAAGTACTTTTGGGCTTGACTGCAGAGGCTTTGACAGCTATGACTAGTTCATTTTGGTTTGTCCATTGTTCAAGCAGGATAAAAACAAATCACACTGTGTAATATTCTCAGTTCTAGAAATAGGGCGACTAACAGAATCTAAATACCTGTTAATGAATGATTTTTTTTATAACTGAGGTTCTGACACCCTTTCTGTTGACCCATAGTGTGTTCAAAAAAAAGGGGGAGTTTACAGCATACACCTAAAACATTGACAAAGTTTCACTATTAACTATATTCACCATCACTACACTTTATGTTTCTGAAGTTAATCCTATCCAATCAACAGCAACATAAAGATAATACTCTCAACAGATAAGGGGGAAAAAAGGGAACGATGGCAAAACAAAGTAACACTGAATCCTACAGACATAATGTATAGCCGGTCACAGGAAATCATGAAACCTTGCTGAGCGGATGGTCGGCAGGTTTTCTGGTGTGGTTTGCTTCTTCTTTTCTATAATACATCTATCGTCCTTATCTCTCCTTCGTATTTTTGAAAATGTTACTTTCAAGTGACAGGTCTAATCTTCGGCTCTTACAAGACCTTGCTGTGTTGCAAGTACCACAAAACTCTTGCTAAAATTTTGGAAAACCCTTGCTGGACTCACCTCAGCTTTTACAATTTTCTCCATGACCATCTGCAGTGTGTCAGTGGGCCGACACTTGGCTACCACATCGGCCTGCTGGGAGACAAACGAAGACACCGTGAATAAATCATTTCATCACCTCAGCAACAATTGTTATATCTGTTTTTTTCCTCCCACATTATACAGAGAACAACTTATGCACAATGATGCACAAAAGATCAAGTCAGATGAAAGACAGAAATTGAGAAAAGACAGGAGTATTCATTAAAAAAAGAAAGACTTAACAGCAACATTATTTCATCCGTCAATTTTCCTCAGCTATTGTTTCCAACAGAAAGCCACATAACACTATGGGTAACATCAATTCACCAAGACTGGCCCAAAATCCATGACTGAACCACATAGTATATAATGTATAATGTGCCAAAGGGAATGGTGAATATTTGCTTTGCTTTTGCACATGTCTGATATTTTATTCTAGTATCAAAAGCCAGAATATGAAGAATTCATTTTTTTTGGGTCTTATTCAAATAGAGCACGTACACCGAATAGACATCCCAAAACAAAATCAATATGGTTTTAGAGAAAAGAAGAATATTCATTTGTAACTTTCTTGTCACTATCCATCATGTCCATTAGTAAATCATGCAAGACCATCTAGACTTTTTTCATTCATCTCTAACAAATAGACACCCCAGACTCTAGTGCGAAGGCTGCTGTTTACCGCAGGTTCTCAAGGCTCCCACAGTGTTTTGGCCCAATATTTCCTTCCCCCAGACATTCTATACCGACAGCATTTGATTATTCAACAATTGATGAGAAAATAAATAGTGGTCTTAAAAAAGGTAAAGAATACTAATGATATAAAAAGCCACTTAAATGTTGTTGATGGCCTATGCTTCACTGGGAGTTAAAAAGGGCAACAGAGAGAGAGAAAACAAGCCACTTTCAGAACACTTTGAGCAATTGCCTGATGTTTTATAGAGGAAGCAACACATTAAGCATACTCTGAACGTTCTCACCTCATTATTGACTGTTGTGCGTCGCTTGAGAGCTTCCCCTAGTGAGATCTCCAGGTTATTGTAGCTTTTGTCTGCTGCCAAGTTCTGTGGACACAGCAAAGGAAGTACATGTCACAACTGTACAATATTTATGTATGACAGTCCACTTAATAAATCACTCGAGTAATCCGAAAACAACAATAAACCAAAAGAAAAAACTCCACAATTTTTTTCATTCTATATGAACAACCTCTCTAAACCAAAACTTGCCACAACTGAAGAAAATCGGTCAGTCCCACAAATTTCCATTTAAGTGGATTGTATCAAAAGAAAGACAGACTTCTTCCCAAACAGCTGAAGAGGAGTCAGAGGGCCAGTACCCCAAAGTTTTCTTTTATACTTTTGCTAACCATCTAATTTTTAAAAATAAAAATTTGTGTGTTATATATATATTTTTTCAAAGTAGGTGTTCTTACGCCCTCCATCTACATATTTAAAATAATTAAGGAAGGGAGCTTCCAACCCTGCCTGTCAGGGCCAACCTGGGCTGAGAGGAACACAACATCCTAACAGAAAGACTGAAATACTCAAAAAACATTCTCCCCACTCTGGAATAGAACTCCGGTCTCCTGTGTACGACAGAGAAGTGCATAACCGCTACACAACAAATGCCAGTCACTAACCACCCTCGATGTCAGAATATATAAAGCTCACTAGGCACACCGGATAGGACCCTGACATCAATGGAGACATTGATGACATAACCTGAGCCTAAGTAAATAATAGGAAGGGCCACACAGATACCCAAAGGGCCCACAAACAAGGTCAGCGCCCGACTAACGAGCACCATCAAATAAAACACATTACTCACGATATAATTACTATATCGACGGCTGAGTGTAAGAGTATGTCTCCTTATGCGTGACGCGATGTCTCGCGTTGCGTGTGTTCCTTGCCGTTTCAAAATCAATCAAGTAAGATTATAATTATTATAAAGAACCTGACTCCTTACACGCGACAAGACGTCTTAACTGCGCGCGACAGTCGCCTGTGATCAGTCTGTGTAGCGATCAAGACCTCGTCGGTTTAAAGCATCACCATTGGTCTAAACACCGAGCCAACGAGTGCCGGTCGACACGCCAAGTAGGTGGTGAGTGATGCGGTCCCTAATAAGGATACACACATCGCGACTCATCGCTAGCAACTGCCGAGCAAAACGCGATGTCACATCACACAAAAGGAAACATAGGCCAAGACTCCACCTTACATCATTTTGAAAAGTCTTACACTGAGTAGTTAATATGTGTAGTAAAGGTATATGCTACACTCAGAATTTTACATGTGATACATCTTACCATTTCATAGAGCTTACTCAAGTAACTTCAGTAAAAGGTTGAAAGAAAAAAAGAGACAACACTTTTACTCTACTAAAGATAACATCACTAATTAGACACTACTCTTGGAACTTTCAAGCATTTCTCCAACAAATCTAAAAGCTGAGCTCTGTTTATTTGTGCATGCAAGAAAAGAGAAGTACATTTTTTAGTTTTAGTTTTAGTAGAGGTTTTACAACGCTCGCAACTGCATAATGTCATAGAGAAGTGCATTACACAATAGAGGTTATTCAGTGCAGAAACAAGTAAGACAGATAGACAGACACACAGACAGACAGACAGAAAGATCAGTAGGAAAGAAAAGTAGGACCTACCAATGGTACTCTCTAACCACCCATAAAAGCTAAACCAGTGACAGCTAATTTAGTTAATAGTAAGACTTTTACGGCACCTGCAACACAATAAGGTCATATATATGCCGAAGATTAGAGGTGTTACAAGAGAGTAACAAACACAAAAAAGAAGGAGGATAGATAAAGACAATAGATGTTTGATAGGAAAGAAGAAGCAAACCACAACAGAGCACCCGCCAACCACCCACAGAGGTGTTACAAGAGAGTAACAAACACAAAAAAGGAGAAGAGATCAGGATGATAGATGTTTGATAGGGAAAAAAGGAGCAAACCACACTAGAGCACCCGTCAACCACCAACAGCGACAGTTACAGTTGCGTGCGACTTACAATGACATCAAACTTGGCGTAGATGTTGACGACCTGCCCTGAGCTCGTGTCAACGACGGGTAATGCTGATATCCGGTGGTCCACAAACAAGGTCAGTGCCTGGATCAACGGGGTCTCTAAGGTTGCCTGCAAGCACAAAGACAATAATCAGTGTTGTCATATTTTAGTATTTGTAATAGTTTTACCCCGGCACTTGCAACACAGGTGAAAATTTGAGGTGTTATAAGAGAGAAAGAAAAACACAAAAGAGAAGGAGAGGTAAGTTATAGTTTTAGTAGGAGTTTTACGGCACTTGCAACACAATAAGCTCATATAAGTGCCGAAGATTAGAGGTGTTACAAGAGAGTAACAAACACAAAAAAGAAGGAGGGTAGATAGACAAGATAGATTTTTTATAGGAAAGAAGAAGCAAACCAAACCAGAGCCCCTGCCAACCACCCACGAAGAGAGGTAAGGACCACAGATATTAGATAGGAAAAAAAAAAAGGAGCAAACCACTCAGAGCACCTGCCAACCACCCACCAGAAGCATCAGTGTCATGCGTCACACACAAAAGCATTATCTCACACACCAAATAATAAAATAACAGTGATCTCCTGCCCTCACACTGTCAGACGAGCAAACAATTTATTTGAGTAAAGAGTGAAAAGAGCGCACTGACCCGATAATAATAAATAATTCTTGCCCCGACCACATTTTACATGAAGAAGAATAAAGTAAACAAAAAGAAATCCTTTACATTACTGGTCCAAGGTACAGAAACACTCAAATGTTGACGATTGAAGTAAAACAACTTTTGAAAAACAAAAAGCAGCAGCATACACAGAGCCTATCCATTACATCATAGACACCTGCCATTCTAAAAAAAACACAACCCAATACTGAAAAAAGCAGCAGACGGAGCACATAAAACAGATGGGGGGGGGAGAGAAATCTTGCATTTACAATTCATTTTTTCAAGCAAATAAGTATCTAATTACAATAAAAACGACAAGTCTTCACATGGAAGGAACAAAGATTACCCCCTACTGCTGAATAAAACATGCACATTATTCTGTAAGTCTGGTGTTCTTGGTGGGCGTCTACACACCCCCCCCCCCAAACAAAAACAAATACACACACACACCCCCCCCCCAACAAAAACAAATACACACACACACACCACCACCATCGTCCCCATTAGTAAATGACAGCTACCTCCCATGCCCCAAACAAGCAGGAGGAGAAGATATCATGTGTCAACAGACTACTGACAATAAACACAGCAGTGGGAGAAGTCTTCGAGAGAAATAGGAAGCTTAACCCCCGCCCCTCCAACCCCAAAAAACCCCCCAAAACTGAAGTATAAACACACAAAACACTAGAGAGTCGGCAGCAGCAGGGGAGATAAAAAATCTCAGCTCTGATAGAGGATCATCACACTACACCACACAGGCCACCAAACTCTTATTGAGCAGCAGTGCACACATAAATCACTTACAGTGATCACATTACTGAAGGTTCCAATTTCCAATTCTTTGATTGATTTTGTCATGAAAGAAGGCCTGGGTAGTTCTTTTATCTGCAAAAACAAAAACAAATCAAGTTAGTATTGAAGTCTCTGGGCACCTTTGGATTTCACTCCGTTCTCAGCAGTCTGATCTCAGATGCAGGACAAAGGATACCCAATAGAGCCAAGCGAATGTAGGTGGCAGAGTAAATAGGAGAACCAACATTTGGGCTATGCAGCACAAAGAGCATACACTGTAGGCAAATTCTAATTCACTTACATGAAAGATAGAGGGACATGAAACAAACCCGCTACATTACTCAAAACCAAATAAAACTTCTACGCATTTTAGAGCATTTCGAAGAAGCTGACAGACATGACATTTGCTAAGCAATTGTAACTTGGATTCCCCCCCCCCCCAACAGCACAGAAGTGCAACAAAATGTAGAACTCTGATAACGTCCTTGACTTATCAGTTCTCATGGCTCATCATAACTGAACATAGTTGTACTGATTCACCAAGAAATGTTGTGAAGGAGAGTGGGGCACATAGCACTAGTCTGAGCTCACCTCTCTTATATAAACAGAAAATAAGCAAGTCCATTTTTTTTCACTAGATCAAACAGACTTACTAATAACATCAAGAAAAATAATCTATAATAATAATAATAATAAACAGCATTTGCATAGTGCAAATACCCACTCAACTGTAAGCTCTATGTGCTTTACAATCTATATTATTACCTCAGGAAACCTGATACCATTCTAAAACAATCTCAACTCTCTGGCAAGCATTCAGAACAAACATTCAAAACAAACTTATAGCACTTTGAACAATTTGGAAGCCTCGACTCACATATAGGTGCAGGAAGCGCAGGATGCGTTTGTGTGTGAGGATGTAGATGGCATTGCCGGTCGTCTCGTCAATCACTGGCAGGCGATGCACGTGGCTCTCAACCAGCTTCTTGACTGCGTCAAACAGACTCGCGTCGGGACCTATGCTCACAAATGGTCTCTGCTGCTCCTTCAACACTTCTGATAAAATGTTAAAAAAACAAACAAACAAACAAAAACGCATTACCAAACAAATTTTCTTCAAAGAAATGTAAACAAAAAAATCCCCAAAACCTTTTCAATTCTAGGTCAACAACAATTTACAGAAAGAAAAAAAAAAAAGGACTTAAAAAGGAACAACAACATTGACCAAAATGGATTTTAAAAAAACAAAAAAACTTTTGGACCTGATACATAAAAGACATTTTATTACCATAAAATCATTGCTTCATTGTTGGGAGATAAAAGGAACGCCTCGACACCATAAAGAGAGCGATAAAAAGGCAAGAAGAACAGTCAGACATAATGGATAGTAGATAGATGACAAAGAAGCCAGGAACAGTAAACCAGAAGCACTCTCCACTCCCCCTCCCACGTCCTCATCTAACAGTCCATACACGTGTACGCACACACACACAAACTCATATACACACACTTAGACAAACAAACGTAGCCCATTGATCCAAAGGAGATCAATAGGGCGATGACTCAGCCTCATCTGATGTGACCACGATACATCTGACCATCTGCCGTCGGTCCACACACACACACACACACACACACAAACAGTTGTGTGATCTCAAATGTTCAATCATTACATGGCCTGCCCGACTTCTTACCGTACCACTCTACATACTTTTAATATTATTTTATAACAGATGTTTAGTTTTAGCTTTAGTATGAGTTTCACAGTACTTGCAATGCAATAAGGTCATATATGTACCGAAAATAAGAGGAGTTGCAAGAGAATGCCAAACACAGAAAAAAAAAAAAGAGGAGAGATAAGGACAATAGATGTTCGAGAAGAAAGAAGGAGCAAACTACACCAGAGTACCCGCCAACCACCCAAACAACAGATGTCTTCAGAAAAAAATGAAGTTAAAAAAAAAAAGAAGGAAGAATGGAAGAGAGAAGACAAACTAGGAGTGGCATTTTCTCTTTACCCCTTGAATTACTTTTGCTCTGCTTGTCAAAGCAATTAAGTTGTGAAAAAAACAACCAATGTTGCACATACACACAAGGTAAGTATCCTCTTACTAAAACCACGACAATTTCTTTACATGAAACAAAAACTACCACCTACTGTCAATAAAGCATGTACACAATTCTATTAATCTGGTGTTCTTGGTGGGTGTTTTGCCCCCTCCCCTACAAACTCCCCTTACTGACACACACAAAAGATCAATAAGTAAGAGTTTGGATCTTTGAAAAATGTTTTTTTATATAAGAGTTTTATGGCACTTGCATCACAATTAGGTCATATCAGAGCCGAAAATTAGAAGAGTTACAAGAAAGTAAAAATCACACACAAGATAACGATAGATGTTTCACAGGAAAGAAAGATCAAACCATACCAAAGCACCCATCAACCACCCATGAATGTGATTAGAAATCAGGCTTTGACGAAAGACAGATATAAGTACCCCACTCAAATTTTTTTTCTCAATGACAAACGGGGGCAACAACTGAAAGTGCCACTAACCTCTCCAGTTGACAATTCTGTGGTCCTCCAGCTCATCCATGCGTGCCTGGGAAGTGAAACAGTTTAGTTTTTATAAGAGTTTTATGGCACTTGCAACACAATAAGGTCAAATAAGCGCCGAAGATTAGAAAAGTTACAAAAGAGTAACAAACAAAAAAAAAGGAGGAAAGATAATGACAATAGATGTTTGATAGGAAAGAAGGAGCAAACCACACCAGAGCACCCGCCAACCACCCATAAAGTGAAACAGTTGGACATTTAAATATAATTGGAGTTAAAGAGAACAACACAGACATAATAAGTCTTATGTTTTAGTTTAGCTTTTTTTTTTTTAAATTCAAAAGCACTCACCAAAAGAATATTCCAGACAGATGCAATTAAAGACAGTATGCTATGGAAGTAACCAAACTTTGGCGCCCACTTTCTTGCTTATTTTACTGCTGAAACCAGGTGACCCCCTCACCACTCTCAGTTGCAAATATCTTGACTTCTATTCAAATGGGTTTAGTTTTTTAAATTTCAACGATAGGTAGACAAATGAACAAGCTTTAAAATGATACCAATAACTCTATATGCCCAGAAAATGACAATCGCATAATTCCACAGCGTTGTGACACAAATAATCTATAAACTTTGAGGCTTTGACATACACTTGTTAAGTGACCAGACAGCACATGTAAAATTATTATATCAATAATTTTTTTGATGCAGTAAAAACAAAAATAGTTTTGGCTAGAGAGCACTTACCACTGGAGACTTGTAATATCTTTTGAGGATGTTGATGAAGTCTGTAATGGTCAGCATTCCTGAGAGGAAAAAACAACACACAAAACTTCAGAACAAAGTTTGTTTTAGTAAGAGTTTTATGGCACGTGCAACAAAATTAGGCCATATAAATGTTGAAGATAAGGAAGTTAAGGTGTTAGATGTAAAAAAAAAAGGGGGGGGGGAGAAAATC